TTGGACTCTTCAGCATTAAGTGAGCTGTTCCAGGATCTCAATGATTCTGAAAATGTGGAAGGCTTCTGCCATCCTGGAAAACAAAAACAAAAAAATCTACAGATGAGGAAGAAGGAGACCCCACTCAGGGCCACCTCCTAGCAGCTGTCCCGTGGGAAGAACTCCAGGAGAAAGCAGGATGTAGCCAAAGGCCACTTCAATGCCCACTCCTGCTGGACTTTCTTCCTCCTGCCCCAAAGTCCATGTTCCACTAACTGCTCTGTAGGAAGGTTCCTGACAATATTTCATAGGTTAACATCATTCATCTAAAAATAATAATAAGTAGTTTAATATTACTTGTAAGCCACATCACATCCAAAGCAGGATGTAAATAATTTTAATACATAAATAACTAAATTACTACATGTGACATCACTACATCAGGCTTGATGGGGATTCATCACTAACTTCCCCCTTCCCCAAAGTGGATCCCAAGTTCCCATGCAGCTGAAGCTCTCCTTGATCAAATGTAAATCACTCTCCTTCTCTAAAATGGGTCAGATGTGTTAGTTCCTTGTGTGGCATTAACAGGACACCCTGCTATTTTCCCTGGCAGTCTGAGCAAAGAGGTTAATGAGTACCAACTACAGCCTTCTTCCACAGAAGCCAAGGGCAATTTTTCAGTGCCAGAAACTAAACTCTCCTTTCACCTTTAGAGATTAATCTTTTTTGGATCTGCATTGAGGCAACTTGCTAGAGATGCATATGTCAATTGCTAGCATGGCCTCACTGTACCGTTTGTGGAAAGGGAGGGGAAAGGAATAAAATACAATATATACATACACATTGCATTTTCCATGAGTGTGCTAACTGCATAAAAAGTGCAGTGCATATTTTATTAAAATGAAATGAGCCACTATAATTTTAGATAACCTTTCAAGTTAGCAAGACAAATATTTATGCACCTGTTATTTTAAGGCATAAGTTTTGCTCACTGATATCCAGAACAATTACCATCTGGAAATATGCTTATGTGTGATGTAGCTACTTAATATTGGTGGAAACCAAATACAATGTAACTTATCTCTGGTTTTCTACTCTAGCTAGATTAAATACAATCTAACCAAGACCTTGCATGTAGCCAAATTTGTGTGCTGGTATTGTCCACCACAGAACACTGCAACCACTTGGGATGAAAATAGAGCTTGAAGTAGCATTTTTATTACACTTTGTTTATTACTTCCTTGAGCCCTTGGTGGGGTCTGGCCAACCCCCCCCCCCAACACTGGAACCCCCACTCCTCCTGCTGCCCCCCTTACTTTTTAAATAAATCACTAGAGTGGTGCCAACACTAGATCCCAGGGCTCTGAGAAAGGCCAAAGGGGTCCTTTTTCAGATCCAGGCACTCTGGGCAAGATGACCAAGAGAATGCCTATGCTGCTATGGTTTGTTATTGCAACTAGAAATATATTTTTTAAAACTTGGAATAATTCTAAGTTTCTAGCTGCTGCTGCTTCTGCTGCTACTGCTGCAAATCAGAGTGGCAGCACAGACATTCCCTTGGCGACCTGACAAAATGTCTGGTTCTGAGAAGTAGGACCCCGTTGACTCTTGGTGCAAGGAGAAGAGAAACTGATCCAAGTGGACTTACTAGCTGTTACCAAAACAGTTCAGGCAATATATTGGAAAAACACAGCAAGACCCAGCAAGTTTAGAATGGCTAGAGAAAAGTTCTGAACATAGTAAAAATGAGGAAAAGTGTCTGACAACATTCAAAGGAACATATAAAAGGCAACCTACACTTTATAGCCAAATGGGCCCATTTCATTGGAATGAAAGAAATCCCATTAAGGAGACATGTACTTCTTGTCCAGTCTTTAGAAAAAGTCATAATATTATGATTATTTTGCTGTGCAGTCCTATCAATATTTATGAGAAGTAAAGACCACTGTGTTAATTATATATGGGATTGCAGGTTTAGCTGCTTTTTAAACAGTTAGTTTTTAAATTAAAAAATATAAATCAAAACTTCAGATTACTTTTTTAAAAATTGTAAATTGTAGCAAACATTTTTTATCTAAATATACAAAGATACTGCTTTCTATCATGAAGTCTAATAATCTGGGGGCATAATCTCAGGCATGGTAATTTGGAGAAAGTTCCACTGACATCTGTTAAAGACTTTTCACATTTTGTGTTAATGAGAAAACAATAATTTAATATCATTATTTCCCCTACTGATACATTCTCCTCTCCATGCGCTCCTGAGGACATTTCTCACATCACCCTCACCTCTGCCCAGCCCAGCTGCTCCCACTCCATTCTGCGCCCCTTGACTGAGTCAGGTGGAGCCAACTGAGCGCATCATGTGAACTGCTCCAAGCGTGTATGAGTTGTTTTTTCTAAACACAAACCTCAGTTATTCAGGTTAAATTGCCATGTTGGCACTTTGCGATAAGTGGGTTTTGGGTTGCAGTTTGGGCATTTGGTTTCTAAAATTTTCGCCATCACTGTCCTAGACCAACTTCATCTAGAACTCTAATCTTGAAGTTTCCACAGCTCTCAGACAAATAACACCATCAAAATCCGGTCTTGTTGAGGAGTTTGTATAGCTTTCTTATTCCTCTGTTCAGTAGACATCTTCCTCTCACACATCTCTGCCTACCCCATGGCCTCTTCAAAGCATGCAATAAACTCAAACAGTGTAATTTTTGAAACAATTACCCTCAACTAATTCTTCTTTGCTATTTCAGGAAATCCATTTTAGAAACAAGGCAAAATGCTGTGTTGACATAAACAGTGGACAATGCAGTACTGATGAACATCCGTTGCTAAGATGTGTCCTTCACATCAATGTTGCACTTGTAGCCTTTGATTCCATATGCAGTAGAAATTAATGGAGTAGGTGTAGTTACCATTAAGCACAGGATAGCATCCCTTTGTTCGTTTATTGGGCTCCGTCACGTATATCTAATGTAGCACCTAAATTACATGTTCATTTTCTGAAAGTGTCCCCTCTAATTTCAAAACACAATATGGGTATAACATATTTAAATGCTACCAAAGGCGGCAATCATTTTGTGCTCATTCAGTTGACACACAATCATCAATAGGTCATTTTGGACCTGGAAAAGGGCAGAATGGGAGCAGATCTGTGAGTAAAATCCCACAGATAACTGAGATTTATTTAGTTCTTAAATGTCTTTTTAACTTGGGGGGTGGGTGGGTTACTCTCTCTATTCTGTGGAAGTATTTTAATCAACACCAGTTAGTTGCAGCTGACTTCAGTTAAAAGTGGAGAAGAAAAAACTTCACATGTATTAATATATGGACATCCCTTCTCATTCTCGCCGACTGGAGAAATGACTGGAGTATAGAACGTCCCAGAAAGCTTCAGTGAGAAATAGGCAGACCCTAGAGAAGACATATAATGGGTATAGAGCCTGTTGTTGTCTCTAGGACAAGGACTTGGAACACACACATTTCTGTAATTCCAGTGGATGGCTAAGGACATACAAACCCCAAATATACTTCATCATGACTAGAAAGAAAAATACTTTCAGTAACCTAGGTAAATTAGCCTACCTGCAAGCTAGACTTTAGAGTTTATTCTCTTCGGTTTCATTTTTTCCTCACTTTTACCCTGGCTGTGGGAAGAGGGACTGAATGACCCTTTAGTTCCTCTTCAGATCTTTAGTTTAAAAATTAGAAAGTGTCCACTGGAGAAGCAAGAAGAAGAAAACGTGGACACATTCTGTAGGAACTTCTTTAAGGGCTCAAGGAAGGAATAAACATTAAATAGTTAAGTCCAGCTTTTGTCTCCTGTCTTCCATCTAGCACCTAGTCAAATAGCTAGTGTGCTGACATCAATGGATTTATTGTATTTCTAAATATGCTGGACTTCTCAGTAGCAAGCCAGATAGTATATGGGATTAGATGGTGAGGGTTAAGACCTGGGTTAAAATTACTGCTCTACCAAAAAAGCTCTGTCTACTAATTTAACCTATGGCAAAGGTTTTTGTTGGGATATAATGGGATAACTGTACATGAACTCAAAATAATAGTAGGATATGCATTTTAAATAAGTAAGTAAGTAAATTAATGAATGAATGTTGGGTAAAATCCTTGCTTCCTTGCTACATTGTTGTAATGAAGCAAAGCTTCCATGGTGGCTTTTCTTTCATGACAATTTATAGATAGTCTTGCAAGAAGTTTATTCATATTATTAGGGGGAAATACATATATTAACAGATTTCCCATTCATTTTCTTTTTTCTTTTCTTTTATTATTAGTTATTATATTTAGACATATGACATGGAACAGTTACATAAAACAAGAATTAAAATGAAACAACAGTTTATGTTCAAATAAATGTTTCTGAGTATATTAACAAGTTGTGTTAAAGTATACATAATTATTGCAGACACGAAATGATGTATAATAAGATACATGCTTAGATTGTTGACCATTAGTAAAAGGTATTTCGAATCAATAACAATTTTCATTCATAGGAATTTATAGGGAGTAAGGGAGAAAAGAGGAAATTAAATATATACTTCATTCACGCCAAACTATGCTGTAAACTGTGGGTGCTATTCTGCCATACGCCTCTTTATTTGTATAATCAATAAGATCACAACAAATTGCGTAAAAAATGTCTCATTTCTTTTGTCCTCTGGCTACTTTTTATTTTTGTGTCAGTTTTTCCAGTAATGTTGTTTGACATATTGCATTATGCCATTGATCCATAGTCAATAATTGTAATGATTTCCATGTCCTGACAATGGTTGTTCTTGCAGTGGTTAATAGTTGTGTAATGAGTTCTTTATTTCTAATTTGCAACCTATCATGACTATACAAATTAAGTAGCGTAAGTCCTGGAGTCCTGGGAACTGTTTGCCTTGTAATTAAAGATATTTCTGTAAATACATTTTGCAAAAATCTTTCAGTTTTTGGGCACTCCCATCACATGTGCTGATATGTCCCTATAATAGTGATATTTTATTCATTTCTTGTTACAGGAACAATTGTAAAGGCGGAGCAACATGGCTGACGACAGGAAGGACGAAGCTAAGGCACCACACTGGACTTCAAGTCAGATAGCAGAGGCTTCTTCGCACTCACATTCCCCTGAGATGAAGGAGCAAAGCGGCACAGGCGAAGGACTAGTCAGAAGTGCCAATGGATTTCCATACAGAGAGGATGAAGATGGTGGATATGGTTCACGTGGGCAACAGAGCTCATACTCCAGAACCAAAGAGAATGGGATCAATGGAGAACTAGCTACAGGAGAGAAAGAAACTGCAGGTAAAAGACCCCCTTTCCTTTGTCCTTTAAAGACTTGCTTTTCAAGGGGAGAGCGCTGCAGATATTGGTATCCGATTCACCCTACACTAGATCAGACTGCAGCAGGTGGTGCAGCCCACACATTGGAAATGGAGCAGATTTCTCTTGTGAAAGGCATTTTGGGGCAGCCTGGGCCAAGGTCAAATCCTAAAGTTAATGGGAGGGAACACAACACAGAGAAAGAGAGGGCTCTCAGCTCGGTGGTAGAGCACATCCTTTGCCTGGATGTGCTCTACTATGTGTCTTTGGCACCTCTAATTAAAAAGCCTTTCAGATAATGGGTCAGGAAAAGGTCTAAGGCATTAGACAGCTTTGCCAGACACAGCAGAAATGTGAGGTTGGACAGGACAATTGTCTGACACAGCATAAAGCAGGCTTCTCTGTTCCATAGTTGTCCTACTTCACAGGATCAGGTCTCAAGAGTGAAACCAAGGGCAGACACTGTCATAAATGATTTCTTCCCTGGCTCGCTACACTATTTTACTCTAAAAACCGAGGTCATTATAGTCACGACATTGGATGTGATTCCTGGCACCACTGCCATTTTTGTTGAATATATAACTGAGTTAAATGAAATATTAGAAGATGAGCATGTGACTTGCTGTACGAAAAGTCAGACCAGTTGCTTAATCTTAATGCATATACTGACCTGCAAGCCATTAAGCCATTTCCAGTTCAGAAAAAAAATTAACGTTAGAGGGAAAGTTCTGCAATGCATAGACTATCCTTCTGCTTCAGATATCAGTTTTGTGTGTGCAAAGAGATCTGGGGTTGTTGTTGCGGGAGAAACCATTCAAACACAAGTTTTCCTACTTGAAGTCTAGAAAGTGGTTGCAGTTCAGAAACAAAGCTTGGATTTTGCTGATAGTCTTGACTGAGAGAGTACTCCAGAGAGAGGGCTCCAGAATAAGGAAGTTTGTCAGATCAAGCCATTTGGGTAATCAATCTCTGCTAAAAGGTTACTACAGCTCCACTGCATTCAGGACTGAATTGTATTAACCCTTTGTCAAATGTTGTTAGATAATTTGGGCCAGAGCCTTCTTGCTACTGGGTGTGCTGGCAATGGCGTAGATTTATTTGATTGATTTTACTTATATACCACTTTCCCACAACAATCTTTGCCCAAAGTCAGCGGTGGAGGAAGCCGCTTGGGTACCTGGGGCAGAACACCAAGGGGTGGGGCAAGCCTCCTATAGGGGCAGGGTGAGGACCGGGCGCACCGCGGGGCCTCTGGAGTCTGCCTGCCTCCTCCCACTCAGCCAACTCTACAGCTGGGGGGGAGGCAGCGGGTGGACCATTTGGGCAGCGCGGAGCCTGTGCACACCCAAGCCACCATGTCTCTCCCAGGAGAGACATATGGCCTGGGCGCACTGCAGGCCCCACAGTGAGTGCCGGCCGGCATTTTGTCACCCCCCTCAGTGGTGACACCTGGGGCGGTCTGCACCCACCTTCCTCCGCCCCTGCCCAAAGTTGCTTACAGAAAACATTTAAAGCATCAAACTAGAGAGCATTGGAAACACATTTTTTTTAAAATACAGAAGTTGTCAATAAATTCAAAGTAACAAAAATCAACAATTGAGCAAACACAGAATAAATTCAATATTACAAAGCACCAATAATAATCTAGGCTCAAGTACATAAATATAAAGCAAAAATTAAAGTTAATCATCAATAAAGTTTCTGGCATTGGTCTTGCTTCACTCCAAGGAGTCTGGCTTAAATACAGTTCAGCCAGGGATTTGTTGGGGTAGATCAGGGGTGGCCAACTCCCAAGAGACTGCGATCTGCTCACAGAATTAAAAAAACTGCCAGTGATCTACCCCTGCTTTGGGGGGGTTCAGGTCAAAGTTGTTGAGATAGTTTGAGGGAGGAGGAAAGCCATGTTTTTGGGGGTTCAGGACAAAGTTGTTGAGCTTTTTTGGGGGGAGCCAAAACTTTTTCGGGGAGGGGGAGGAAAGAGCTACTGTGATCACCACAGACATCCAGTGATCTACCAGTAGATCAAGATCTACCTGTTGGACGTGCCTGGGGTAGATCACATGCAGCTGTCTCCCCCATCTCTCCTCCAGAGGAGGCTGACAGCTATAAAAGGCAAATGTTGGGGAGAGCAGTGATGGTAAGTCTCTTCCCCAGCCTCCTGGAAGTACCAACTGCTGGTGTAGGTTTTATTGCACCAATCTGGACTACCCAAGATAGAAACTTGTTGTCTTGATTTTGGTCTTTGGAACCGTCAGTTTGTTTGTTTGTTCTTTTTATACTGAGGTGTGCATCTTCAGCCTCAGTGAATGAGGCACGCTATACGCAGGCCCCTTAGTCTGCTGCAGTGTCAAGTTCCACAATTTATAAACCCAAATGCAAATCCATTGTAAGTATATTACAAATTATGAAACTATTGATAATAATTATTTAATGTATTTATAACACACCCTTCAGTGTGATAGTTCACTGGGCCGTATATTGACAATTTGTTAAAATACAACAGAGCAAGATGACTTAAAATATATAAAACCAATATGCATAATAAAACAGCAATCCAGCCACAGAAGAAGCCAATTCTTAAACCAGCCACCTGCATAGGTCTGAAATGGGTTTGTATGCGCCTATTTGATCTAATAAATTAGTCAGATTTGTTTAATTAAGCTATAAACTCTATGCATCATCAACGCAAGAGATAACAGCTTCTCTGAAGCAGTGTCTCTCATGCACAATGAAGAGCTTTGTCTTCACTGATGAACTGAGCTTTAGATGAGAGAAGGGAAGAATATGACTCATGGAATGTGGGTAGGTAAGGAGTGGGCAGAGTAGCTAAGGCTTGGGTCTTCAAACAGGAAGAGTGAGCTATGAAGAATCAGTGTCTCCTGGACTGCTGGAGACAAGGGCTATGTAACTAGTATTTATATATGCATTGTCAAGTTACCTGGATCCAAAGAATCGTGAGCATCAGAAGGAAGTGCATTAGTGTTGTACTATGGGACGCGGGTGGCGCTGTGGGTTAAAGCCTCAGCGCCTAGGGCTTGCCGATCGAAAGGTCGGCGGTTCGAATCCCCGCGGCGGGGTGCGCTCCTGTTGTTCGGTCCCAGCGCCTGCCAACCTAGCAGTTCGAAAGCACCCCCGGGTGCAAGTAGATAAATAGGGACCGCTTACTAGCGGGAAGGTAAACAGCGTTTCCGTGTGCGGCTCTGGCTCGCCAGAGCAGCGATGTCACGCTGGCCACGTGACCCGGAAGTGTCTCCGGACAGCGCTGGCCCCCGGCCTCTTGAGTGAGATGGGCGCACAACCCTAGAGTCTGTCAAGACTGGCCCGTACGGGCAGGGGTACCTTTACCTTTTTTATGAAATGCTAGGGACGCGGGTGGCGCTGTGGGTTAAAGCCTCAGCGCCTAGGACTTGCCGATCGAAAGGTCGGCGGTTCGAATCTCCGCGGCGGGGTGCGCTCCCATTGTTCGGTCCCAGCGCCTGCCAACCTAGCAGTTCAAAAGCACCTTCGGGTGCAAGTAGATAAATAGGGACCGCTTACCAGTGGGAAGGTAAACGGTGTTCCGTGTGCTGTGCTGGCTCGCCAGATGCAGCTTGTCACGCTGGCCACGTGACCCAGAAGTGTCTTCGGACAGCGCTGGCCCCCGGCCTCTTGAGTGAGATGGGCGCACAACCCCAGAGTCTGCCAAGACTGGCCCATACGGGCAGGGGTCCCTTTACCTTTACCTTTACTATGAAATGCTACTAGGAGACCTTTTGCAGTGAAGTACCACAATGTGTCTCCTGCCAACCTAGCAGTGCAAGTAGATAAAGAAAGGTAAACGGCGTTTCCGTGTGCTGCTCTGGTTCACCAGAAGCGGCTTAGTCATGCTGGCCACATGACCCAGAAGCTGTACAGCGGCTCCCTCGGCCAATAAAGCGAGATGAGTGCCACAACCCCAGAGTCGGCCACGACCGGACCTAATGGTCAGGGGTCCCTTTACCTTTACCTTACCACAATGTGTTGGAGGTTGCATTACCATAAGAGAAACATGGTGAATAAGAAACGTACAGTTGCTAACATATAAGCTATAGTAGGCAGTCCAGAGTCTTGAAAAGATGTGTGAAGTGCCAGAAATTTAGCAAGTGGAAGAACTTCAGTGGATCTGGGGCCATCTTTCTAATGCATCATTCTTCTGCTATACAGTCATACCTCTTGTTACGTCCGCTTCAGGTTGTGCGTTTTCAGGTTGCGTCCTGCGGTGACCCAGAAGTACCGGAAAAGGTTACTTCTGGGTTTTGTCATTCGCGCATGCACAGACGCGCAAAATGACATCACGCGCATGCGCAGAAGCAGCGAATTGCGACCTGTGCATGCGCAGACATGGGTTGTTTTCCGTTCAGGTTGCGAATGGGGCTCCGGAACGGAAACCTGAGGTACCACTGTATCAGAAACGGCTTGTCAATGAGTGGAAGAGGCTTTCGGCTAGCTAGAGGGCAGCTTTGGATCCAAGCCAGCGTTTATGCTTATTGGGAATTACTACAAGTTTCTCCCAGCCAGTGCTTTGCTGGAAAGCGACATACTGACCAGATGAGCATCTGCTTTGGGGAGCTCATTAGCATTACCTGCCAACTTGAGCTTTTGGTTGGAATCCAGGCAGTAGATGTAACCACATGCACACTTACTCTTCTGAAGTCCTAAGCCTACCCATATTCTGCTTTACCTGCAAAAAGTGCAAACATTTCAAGATTTATCTTTATGTAAAATATAATCATTGCATAAAAAGAATAATTTGGCATTCATAAAAGTTTATTGCTGAAAGTAACTTAATATTTCTTTAGGATTTTTCTTCAGGCAAATACATTTTTTTCCAGCCTCAGTGCATTAAGCAGTAGGAATTCATCTTTCTCACATGAACAACTGCCCTTGGTGGTGTATGCAACTATGCATGCTAAGAGTGAGCCTAACCTCACTTTTAAAATCTTCTGAGATTTAATCTTCTGCAT